AAACAAATGATATGTCTGTTTCAAAATCAGAAGCAAGTCTGATTGAAGGGTATCTGAACGACCTCTGTTAAAGAGAAAACATACCACTGAATTGTGTTCCATCGGAAGGCGAATTAAACTGCCCAGCGAATAGCAGGGACGTTTCATCGTTCTTGCATTATTGCGCTCAAGCTCGGCAACCGACGGGGTATTTTAACCTCCTCAAGTAAGCAATTAAAGCAGTCACTTTGAGGATCCCCTTCCGAAAAGGTAAAATACCCCTGTATCAAAGGGGGTTCTGGAATACCAGGTCTGTGGGGCTGTTCGGGAACAAAGAACATAACTTGAGGAGTAGTAAAGCGGAAAATTTTGATACAAGATAGCAAGCATGTATCGCTCTATCATTGTTGATGTTGCTCTATCCGTTTATCAGCCGTGAACGCTATCAGATCTGGAGAAGCTCCGATGAAGTTCTCAAACTCAACACACGTTCCCCGTGTCCGGCATGAATAGTGTCTTTGGCCCAATATAAGCCCTTGCTGGACCTCCGTCTATTTCCTTCTAAGGATGAATCGGCATATATGGGTCTTCTGATACCAGTAGCATCCCTGAGTCTGTAGGCTGTTTTCGTGGACATCATTCACGTATTGGTCTCCTTCATTTTGTCAACTGTCGAGTGCGGCTCCAATGAGCTGAGGCACGTGTTAGTCGTCACACCACGACCAGCCATTCGATAGTGATCTAAACCAGATATGGGTAACCCACGGCTAAAACCTCGGTATGACGGCTTACGGCATATGGAGAAAACTACTCGTGGGTGGACCGTATCTTCTGCTTGAGCCAGTGACAAAAATGAAATCTGGCGAATCAGAAGAGATACTAGGATCCTCAGAATGAATTCCCATCAATTGATTAGCTAATGGGTTCCTACTGAGCCACTGGCAACGATACACCAAATAACCATGACTTTGCAGTCCGTATTTGGTAGTGAAAGTAGGATTAGAGATGCACCTCCGAAATGAAGATGTCGCCTGACGTCTCTTGAACCAAACTCTTGAGAAACTTCATGATTTCAGGAAGCTAGCATATTTTCCACTGAGAACGTCAACCATAGAGTAGCGGCTGGGTATATGAATGCGAACCAGTATTTAAATGACACACCAAAAGAGACTTTCTCTTATCACAACTTCACAGCCGGGTTGATCTCATTCGACCCTTGTTTTCTGCCGGTCCACTAGGTTCACCTTTTTCGTTCAATGCACCGTGCTCTGCCGCTTTATTTTTCCTTTTGATATAACACTTTTTCTGGTTTCCCTTTTCGCCCACAATTCTCTCTACAGTAATCCACTGGTCTTATCTCATAGAGACTATCGTCCGAGGAACTATTCAAAAGAGGTTGGAAAATTGGAGTACGCATGAGAACGATAAGGTATCACGTTGGATGGTAGAAATGATTAAATGTAACTTCTTGACCAAAACTCAGTACAGCCTCATCTAACACAAAAAGCGGGCGTGGAACAAAGCTGGCGGTAACCTCGCTCAAATAATAAATAAATAAATAAATAATTCTATCCAACTTAAATCACCACCCAAAACTGTTGCGATCATTAGAAAAGCCCAACTGCAAATAGAAGATAAATCTATTTGATAGTAAATCGCGAAAAAGAAAAAAGAACATAACAATCAGTAGAGCACTACGAATGGGCAGACAAGACGAAAGAAACGACCCAATCGTTGCCGCAGTTTAGAAGCACTTGCGGTGCACAATACCCGGACCAGACTCGTCGTATTCCTGCTTGGAGATCCACATCTGTTGGAACGTGGACAACGAGGCGAGGATGGAACCACCAATCCAAACGGAGTATTTACGCTCCGGTGGAGCGACAATCT